CGCGACTCAGTCAGCTGCCAGCAGTGCCCGCAGCCCAAGCTCCGCTGTCCAGGCTGGCGCGGGCGCGATCTGCGGTGCGCAGCCCCGGGAATCACGGAGGGACAGCCGCAGGGGAACCTGTGCTCCCACATCTGACGCGAGAGCGTCCTCTGACCACGACCCTTGGACCACAAAAATCCAAAGCTGCTCCAGTTTCATCCTATATATCAGGAAGATTATTTCTGTTCATCCCGGATCTGTTATGGTACTTTTCTCACCTTTTTATAGAATGACTTTGGAGTAGCAGTGTGATTCTTTGAAGGGCAAAGACTTTCATAGCTGAATAGCTGAGTTATTAAGATTTCAGTTCAGAACAAGAAACATTTAACATCTAGTTTTAAATATACTTGTTCTGGAAAAAGATATTTTTCTGATTGTTCCAGTTATAGATAGATGTACTCCGTGGAGGTTTTGGGGCAATACTGAAGAATGTAAAAGAAGGAACTAACCAGTACCTAGGATCCTGGGCACATAACTATCATTTTCATTGTTCCTCCAGCATTCTCACCTCTACATACCTCTTTGGTGCTACTGTTTCTCTCCTTGCTCACGTAACTGGAATCTGTGAGAATGAGGCCCAATAAACGGATCATGAACACGAGGCTGTGGGGTTCAGGGGTGACAGGCGGGAGGGACAAGGAAACATCTTGGAGAGTGACGTTGATGAGAGCCCTGAGCAATTTGAGCAGCAGAGGTAGGCAGGCGGCATTTCAGGGACAGAGCCTCCGGGTGGTTTTAAAATATGTACCAAATTCTTTGACAGTCACCGCACTGAGCGGTGGAGTCCATGTTCCCTGCCGTTGGACGTGGTGGGCCTTTGTGGCTGCCTCAAGGTATCAAATGAGGCAAAAGTGACATTTTGTGACTTCCAAGTCAGGGTTCGGGTGAGGAAAGGCCACAGGGCCATTGCTGGTCTCTCTTGGGACACTGGCTGTGACCCTTTGGCTAACATGTCAGGGGTCGACGGAGCCTGTCTGTTCCGGCCCTGGCTGCGTGAATCTTCCCAGCTTGGCCACCAAACATGTGAGCGAAGGAACCTTCCAGAGGACTCAGCCCCACCCACTGGCTGACTGTAACTGCACGTCAGATCTCCTAGCAAGAGATACCACCCAGCCAAGCCCAGTTAACCGAGATTTGTAAGCAAAACAAATGGTTGTTACTTGTTATAAATTAATAACCCGAACTGCCTCTTCAGTCTTGAGGTACACACACAGCTGTCACAGCAGCATGCCTGGTGGGCTGCCTGGGGTCCCGGCCTGGAGGGCCTTCACATCCACGGCCGGAGCCCCGCGAGCGCCCGTCCTCGCCTGCACGGCAGCGCTGGTGTGTGGACTGTCACCTCTGTGCGGGGCGGTTCTCGGTGCTTTATCGACGTCACTCCTCTAACCCTCCGACTCTACGGGCTTGGTGCTCTCGTCGTCACCCCTATTTGACCTACGAGGAAACTGGGGCCCAGACAGGTTAAATCATTTGTCCGAGCTGCCGTGCTAGTCAGTGGCGCTGGGCTGAGATCCAAAACCCAAGGACTGGCTCCAGTCCCTCCTCTCACCCCTGCGCGCTGTCCCTCTCCACAGGGGCGGCTGCAAAACAGATGACATCGTAGCAGGGCCAGTGCCTAACAGCATTAGGGTTGACCTGCCCTTGCCTGCAGGAAGGAGCTGCACCAGCAGCACCATCATCCCCAGGGAACCTGTTAGCAATGCGATTCCTAGTCCCTGTGTCACCTTTGCTTGGATCGCAGAGGGCAGTGCCTGGGTCTGACTCATATTTACGGCCAGAGCTTGTGCACAGCCGCCGGGTCCTCGCCGACCAGTGCCCGGCATCCATCAGCGGTGCACAGACGCAGGAGAGCACTGGCCCAGCCTGATGCCTCCCTTCTCCGCCAACAGAGGCCTCGGAACGTGCCGCACGTCCTCCTGAGAGAATACGGCCCCCTGGCCAGCCCGAGGAGCAGGCCGCCTCGGGTCCACCCCTCCAGTCCACGCTGGGTCAGGCTGCCCCGGCCGGCGGTTCTTTTTACCCAGATTAAAAGGATGATAGTCGCTTCTGTTGATTTTGACACAACCTGCACCAGTGTCCCCCGCTGTCCTGAGCATGGGGCTGTGCACATAAATTCCCAGGCCTCATCTGTTCACTTCAGTCCTGCGTGCTGGGCCCAGGGGAGAGGGAGCATTAGCAGAGCCTGCGTGGGACGGCTTTATGTGCAGCAGAAAACAGGCAGACACTTTCAAGGACTCTAAACAGAGATGGATAATTAATAACATCATGCTGGATGGATCTTCCCATGCCCACACTCTTGGCCACTAGGACGTGACGCTCAGCTGGGTGCTGAGGGACGGTCTGTGCAGAGGACAGGGCACAGCAGGGTGGCGGAACCAGGCACATTGCGACACCCTCCAGCAGGCCTGACTCCTTGGTCCAGATGGCCCAGGGCACGTCTCCTCAACTCCCACTGCTCTGCCCGCAGGGGCCTCCACGCGGCGGTTTCCACTCATGCAGAACACTCTTCCATGATCACCGCTGCGTCTGAGCCGCCAGCCGGGGGGCCGGGTGTCACCGCCCCTGTGCCAGGAAGAGGAGCTGGCGACGGGTGGGTGAGCCCAGTATGAGACGGCCAAGTCCACACGTTCTACACCGTCTCACTGGCTCTCAGTGGCACTGTTTACCCCAAGGACAGAGATGCTTTTACTCCCAGAATTTTGCAGGAAAGAGGGGAAGATGATGGCACCACAGAGTGTGGATTCTCTTCATGCGTTACTACCCCCTCGCCCTAGAGAACCGCTCTGGCCTCTTGTTCAAGACATTTGCTGCAGCTGTTGGCAACGGCCAGCGAGGACTCTGCCATTCCAGGGTCCCGCCCCCCCTCACCCCTCTCACTCACACCGCAGGTGGCCCCCCTCGCCTCCCCAGGGCTGCTGGGCCTGGTTCAGAGAATAGCCCCAGGCGGCGGTAGGTGAAGGGCATCCCCGGGGTGGCAAAGTGTCTTGGCACCATTGGAGCAGCGTGACTCCCGCCACGCCTTGGAGAAGTCTAACTTTGCATTTCCTGAGCTTACCACAGTCCCCAACGCCCAGGCCACCCGGAGGCCCGGGAGGCTCCCACATGCCGGCCGTGCCGGCAGTGCGGACTGACATCTGTTCTGGGTGGCAGGTCAAGGGAAGCGGGCAAGGGCGCTTGGCGCAGCCTCCTTCCTGAGTGAAGAGGCGGCGGCGGAAAGGACTCCGAGTGCTGGCAGACGGGAGCTGCAGTGCCCGTGGTACAGATGACATCTCTTACGAGTCCAAGGTTCCCAACCAGCTTGTGTGACAAAGACGGCATGTTCTGACTCACGGCCTTTTCCACGTGGATCTACCGCAGCTCCCCCGCCCTGAAACCGCACACTTAGGCAAGTGCGCCGGGTCGGCCCGGGGGCCATTCACTCACCCAGATCAGCACCCCTGACTCTCAAGTGAGCTCACCCCCAGCGCCTCAAGAAGCTGGCAGGTGGAACATGTGGTTATGCAGCCTTGGTGCTGAAGGACGATGCAATTGTGTTGGGGACCCGGGGGCTGGCCGCGGGGGGCGGTTAGTCCCTCAGCAACGAGGACACGGCAGCTCCCTCCTGGGCCGGCGTCGGGCCCTCACCTGCACCGGGGCCGGGTGGGACGCGTGCACGGAGCAGTAAGGTTAGAGAGCACCCCCCAACGGAGGGCGGGAAGGCGGGTCCGTTCTCAGTGCCTGTTCTTGGCATTCACTCCAGCCAGAAGGATCTGGAAAACACTGCGTCTCCCCCTGGGGTCTGCCACCAGGTTACAGGCCCCGACCCTGGCCCCGTGACGACAGGGGAGGGCCGCCCGGCGGTCCTTCTGGGTCTGACCTCTACACTTCGTGGGGCATCCCCGTTAACCTGAGGCCACCCTGGCCCGGGATGTCAGAGACTCAGGCTTTGAGAGGCCGGACTGGGTCCTGCTGTGAAAGGCGGCAGCACGGAGCTCCAGCCCATTCGCCCTCCCTGAGGGTCCCATGGGATCGACCCCACAGGGCCCGAGGCGCAGCCTGGCTGGGGTCGGAAACGGGGGGCTGGCTCCACGGCCGGCTGCGCCATTGCCCTGGGACTGAGAAAACCTCTTCTTCCCGCTACGTTCTAGTCTCTTTGTCTATGTAATGGCGTGAGAGGGGACCAGGTCAGTGTTTTGTTTTGTTTTTTTAAAATCCTTATCCAATGACGTATTTCTTGATTTTAGAGAAGAAGGGGAGAAGAAAGAAACATTGATCGGTCGCCTCTCATACATGCCCTGACCGGAATCGAACCCCCGACATTCTGGGGTACAGGAGAGACTCCAGCCAACTAAGCCACACCAGCCGGGGCTAAAAACTTTTTTCAATTACAGTTTACACTTAATAATATTTTATATTCGTTTCAGGTGTACAGCATAGTGGCGAGACAACCGTATACTTTACAGAGTGGTCCTCCTGATAGTCCCTGTGCCCAACTGGCACGGTACACAGTTGTTAAAATATTATTGACTACTCTCTGTACTGCACTTTACGTTCCCGCGACTATTGTGTGACTACCCATCTGTACTTCTCAATCCCTTCTTTTGCACCAAGTCCCTCAAACACCGCCGCCCCCTCCCCCCCACCAAAAGCAACTCTGGAGTCTTAGTTTTGCAAGATGAAGAGCGTTCTAGAGACAGACGACGGTGCTGGTTGCACAACGCAGACACTCAATTCCACTGAACCGCACACTTAGCAATGGTCAGGATGGCCAATAGTGTTATTCACGTTTTACCGTAATTTTTTTCAAGTTATTATTTTTAAAAGAGAGAAGAAAAGAGAAAGCAGCATTAGAATAAAGCGTGGTGGCTACGCCAACGGTGCCCGTGGAGGAGCTGCGCAGGCCAGGCCCTCCTACCGGCTCAGGTCGTGTCTGGGCTGGACGCCCTGGGATGTAACTGGCCCTGTGCCCTGCTCTGTTTCAGCCACGCCGGCCCCTGCGCCTCCTCTCCACGGAAAGGTCACGGCGCGCACAGGCCCTCAGCTGTGATGCCCCGCCACCCCCCCGCCCTCCTGCAGCAGCCCCACCCAGGGGGCCAGCCCACACCGTGGCCCTTATGAAGCGGTGACCACTCCGACCAGCAGGTCAGTGCCCTCTGGGGACGGGCAAGGAGGGAGACAAGGTCTGAGGAGGGGGCAGCGTGGCCCCCCGTGGTGTCAGGTGCGCCAGGACCTGCCAGCCAGAAGCCTGTGCAAGTGTCCTCCTGAAGCTGCGGAGGGGACGTGGGAGGTGGATCCCCGCTGCTCCCACCAAAGGCGGGAGGCCAGCGCGGGCCTGGGGTTGGGAGGAGGGGCTCGGCTAACTGCCCCCGGAATTCAGGGCTGCTGGCGGTGACGGGCTCAGGGGGAGCGGGGACAGCAGCGGTCACTCCAGGAGCCGAGGCAGGGACGGAGGGAGTGGGCGCCCTGCCCCTGCCACGCTCGGCTCTCCACAGGGGTGGAAGATGGTACCAGCCGACCTGGAGCCGGAGGAGGAGCCTGCAGCCGCCGTCCTGCGATGGAGGAGCCCACGCCCGAGCCCGTCTACGTGGATGTGGACAAAGGACTGACCCTGGCTTGCTTCGTCTTCCTCTGCCTCTTCCTCGTTGTCATGATCATCCGCTGTGCCAAGGTCATCATGGACCCTTACAGCGCCATCCCCACCTCCACCTGGGAGGAGCAGCACCTGGACGACTGAGGCAGGCCACCCACGATGCGCCTCTGTGTCCCCATGGACACGGGGAGTGGACTTGGTCCCCCCGGGGCAGGAAGAGTCACCTCAGCCTCGCGGCCGTCACACGTGCGCCAGAGGGCTGTGCTTGGGGTGCTGTGGGGGGTCCGGCCGTGGCCAGTCTGGGAGGCACTGTGACTGTGGGCGGTCCCCCTCCCTGGCTCCGGCACAGATGCCCACCCGCACACCCCGGTGGTCTCGTTTGGAGACTCTGCCCTGGAGGTGCAAACTAGCGCCTCCCAGTGGTCCATTGCGGAAGGAGGGGGCGGAGCCTCCCCCCAAAACCCACCGAAGGCACAGGGGCTGCTTCCCAGCCATATTTTTTTAAACTAAAACAGAGAGGGGTATATTTTTCCTGCTACAGGTGAAATGTGCATTTTAGAAATTTGGGAAAATACAAAAAAAAAACATAGAAGGAAAGGGAGGAAATAACACTTACCATCTCCTCTCCCAGAAGCCGCCATTTTGAAATATTCTCCCTGCCTTTTTTACACGTGTTTTTAAAATTGATTCGCGCCGCATGCCCGATGCCCTATCGTTGCTGTCACAGCATGAATATGCGCCCATCACTGCCGGTGGCTGCAGGGAGCTCCACCAGGAGGCCGGGTCGTAGTTTAATAACCGCCTCCTTTGGTCAAACACTTCGTTCTTCTGTTAACTTTCCCCCACATAAAATTATCTCACTTAGTAACGTGTTAAGAATGCACAGTCTGCGACAGGAATGGCGCGCGGCGGGGGAGACCTGGCTTCCAGTCCTGTCCGCCTTCTCCGCGGCTGCGTGACCGTGAGCAAGTCGCTTCCCCTCTCAGTGCCTTGCTTCCCTCATTTTACAATGACGGAGGGGGGAGGGGGGTGGCGGCAGGGGGGTGGGGAAGCCTGGCTTTTTTTTTTTTTTAATTGTGCGTACACCTCATGGGAATAAAAGGACAGGTCGGGGTGGGGGCCTCGAATGAGATGAGCTGTAGTTGGGGGAGGAGACAAGGACTAAGCTGTTGATAAGGAGACCCCTGGGCCTCCCTCCTCACTGTCCTTTGCAGCCTTTCCCTGCCTGTCACCCTATCACCGACATCTGTGACCTTCAGCAGGAAGAGGGGAGCCGAGCCCACAAACCTGGTCCCAAGTCCCAGTTCCTCTACTTCCTTGCTATGTGGCCCCAAATAACTCAGCCTCTCTGAGCCCCAATGCCCTCATCTGAAAAATGGGGGAATAACATCTACCTCACAGGGTTGTTGTAAGGATGAAGTGACAGAACATGGGCAAACCTTAGGGTCCTTTCCTGGTTCTGCCACCCCAGGAGAAGCCAGGGGTCAGAGCTGCGGGGAATCGAGGTTCTGGGGTGCCCCGCCGCCCCCGCAGAGGCAGGCGCCCTGTTTCTCTTCAACTTCCCGGGGCTGATTCTTACAGACCGACCCTCCCAGCCAGGACCGCTGGTCACAGCAGTGCTCAGAGCGACCTGTCCCAGCACCTGACCCCAAGGGATACGGTGCCTACTAATTTACATAATTGTCATTGTCATCGGTTTTCACATACCCGCCACAAGCTAAATGAGACCACCTGCACGCCCCCTCCTCTGAAAGCATTCAGTTCATCCCCCGAAAGCATGGCCACTGTCCACCAGCAGAGACCTCCCTTGCCATCCCCTGCGTCCCAGCTGTGGGTCCCACTCCAACAGGCCACCTGGGAAACGCATTTCCAAAGCTCTGCCACCGCCAGGGGCCCACTGAGTGACCGAGGCTGCAGCTGTTCAGTCAGCATTCCAGGGCACCTCCAGCTGTCCCCTCCACCCTGTGGGATGCACAAGGGACAGCTGGCAAGGGCGGGGGACCAGGACACGCTGGAGGCTCTGTGTAAGGGGCGGGTCGCGAGCAGGGGCTTGGGGCGTATTGTCCCAGGCCTGGCAGCGGCCTTCGCTCCCTCAGACACACCAAGCGCTTCCGTGAAAAGCCCGCCTGCCATCTGAAGCGGCGCCCATCCACTGAGCGGCCGACCCCGAGGGTCAGGACGGGCCTTGGAGACCTCGCCTGGGGGCGCGTCAGGCCTGTTGGAAGCAAACCCCAGGATTCCCCAGGGCTGTGCTGCTCAAACAGTGATGACGGGCCAACAGAGTCCGAACACCGAGGAGTTTGTTGGAAATCCAAAATCGTGGCCCACTCCCGACGTAGGGGGTCAAAATCTCGGGCGCGAGGGGAGGGCAAGGGGTCAGGAATCTGCCAGCACACCCACCGAGTAATCCGCGTGCACATTAGGAGTTTGAGGGGCACTGCTTTTGTTGTCCTGGGGTCCCAGTTAGTCCTTCTCCACCTCTAGATTTCTTAGTATTCCCTAGCATGTCTAGACATACTATTTCTTAGTATGTCTAGACATGGTGGGGACCATGTCTATTTTTTCCCTTTCTTTTTTGGTGGCAAGGGGACATATGCTTTTAGAAAGCAGAAAAACTTTAGAAATCACTTCCCATCCAAGCCTCCCACAAAACAGCGATATTCATTATAGGTCCGTCTGTTCCCTTCTAACCCTTGTCCACAGGCGAGACGCCCTTTTTCCTCAGGCTATCAGTCACATCATTCAGACCGCACGCTGCCGCCAGTCTTCCCGCGCCTCATGTCCGTGGCTGTCCACCACGCCGTCTGCAGCACGTGCACACTTAGCCAGGCTCCCAGTCGGCACTTGGGTTGATTTCATTTCTTCCTATGACACGGGTCCCAAGAGGAAATAGGAAGGTCAAGAGAGATAGGCTGAACCCTGGGCGTTTGCTCAAAGCAAAGGAGAAGATACATGTTTAAACTATACACCATCCACGAGTGGGAGGGAGGCCTAAGAATCTTCCGGTGTTAAGAGAGAAAAGCAACTGGAATTTGAGTCAAGCTCCTGGTGTCGGGTTCTGCTGCTGAAGGAGAGAGGACACGGTTCTCTGGGACCAGAGCACCTTCACCACTGAAGTTTGGGGCTGTGGAGGGAGAGAAACTTCCCAGCAGAAGAAATGAACAGGGTTTTCAAAGACAAGAAGCTGGCAGAGAAGAAACGGAAAGCACTCCGAGAGGCCCGCGGAGTTGGCCACAGTCCCGGACTTCAGGGAAAACGTGGCCAGGGAGAGGCTTCCGGCCCCGGGGAGCGCGTGGTGGGTTTTCCAGGCGGTGGCGCGAGGTGGCCAGTTTTAAGTCGTTGTCCGTGCTGTCCTGTACGGCCCCTTCCTGTTATTCCAAACCCTCAGTAAAGCCTGAGACACCATGCACGTTGTGGCCGTTGTGTTTGGAGACAGTAAAGACATCTGGGAAGTAGGCAGGGGAAGGACTGCAATCTGGAAGGGGGCACAGTCCCAGAGACAGCGAGGTGGCGGAGGCAGCGCGTCGGAATGGCAGTCGCTAGGAGAGACGTGGCCCTGCGGATGCTCGGGTGCGCCGAGAGGACAGCAGGACCGCGGCCTGGCCAGCCTGCCGTCTCGGCGCCTGTCGTCCCTATTTCACTTTTTCAGCTAGGTGCCCACGCGCCTGCACGCTCCCAGTGGACTGAAAGCCATGTCTCCCTCTCCCGGAAACTGTCCCGCAATTCCCACGACTCACGCAATCCAATGGGGCCCTGCGTCCAGACACCGGGTCAGGGGAGCTGCTACACCTCCCACTGGTTCTGTTTCTCTGAGAACTCGAACGCGGCTGCCATTCCCGTCCCAATCCCAGGGAAAAATGCGAGGCCTGAGGTGTCTGATCAGGAAATTGCGCACAGACCCTCAGCCTCACTAGTAAAAACAGGTCAATGATGCCTCCCGAGGAAGCGGCCCACACCCTGCGCCCCTGAGTTAATTCAAGGACAGACATGGACGTCGCACTCTACGACAACGCAGGGCTCCGAGCGCGGACACAGAGCACAAGGGCTTTATTTACTCCTGGAGGAGGCCCCGGGGGCGGCGTGGGGGTCCAGCCCTTTGTTTCAGGACGCGAGAGAACCTCACGCGGGCAGGAGCGAGGGCAGCACTTTCCCAGCACACTGGCCAAAGCCGACGCGGTAGCCGTCCCCCTGGCCGTGCCCTGGAACAGAGGGGGACAGGGGTCAGCCAGAAGCCACTGGGCTCCCTGGAGCCGGTGCCCAGGAAGCCGCAGCGCCGCCCATCACACAGCCAGGCCCGCAGCAGGAAGGCGCCATCGGGAGGGCGAACGTGCGTTTCACACAGAAGACCACCCTCCAGAAGCTTGTTGGAGCCGCAGGAGTAGCTGTGGTGGAACTCCAGGCCCCTCCACCCCGTCACGGAGCCTCAGGAGCCGCGTGGGGAGGCTCCACAGCGGTCCACGTGGTCTCGCGTCCAAACCCCAGGTCCACTAATTAGCCCGAAGCGTGGTGCCCGGGTTCAAGGCCTGGCTTCTCTGCCGGCCAGCTCCATGGCCTGCGCCCCCCGCGAAAACTCGGTTTCCTCGTTTGTGAGGTGGGTTTAACGACAGTAGGCATAGCACAGGACTGCTGCAAAGGTGATGTGAATACACAGAAAGCTGAGAACAGCACCTGGTCGTGGCGCCTAGGCAACGAATATCAGCTACTGTGACAGCTGGAAGCTGGGTGATGGGGGCAACCCGCTGAAACCCCGAGCTCGGCCCCTCACCTGCGAACAGGAATCATGTCCTGATCGCGCAGGTGTGCGCGGACTCAGCGACATGCTCCAGGGAAGCCCCCAGCACGATCTCCCCACCGGGCGGATGTTCAGCGAGCGTTAGTGCCAGTCATTGGACTCCATTTCAGCAAAAGCGACGGGAAGGCAGAGAGAAGGAGCGCGTCCCTGTCCCGAAGGAGGGCCGGGCCCGCGTGGACAGGAGCGAGAGGAGAAAAGCTTGCGAGGCACGGAGAGCGCAGCGCGGAGGGCACGGGGGCAGGAAGGAGGGAGCGTGGGGGCGTGGAGCGGGCAGAGGGGGCCGCACAGCCGAGGCACAGACACAGGCGAGAGAGGCACGTGCTGCGCCTGCTGTCGTGCGGGGGGACCCTGAGAAGCCAGGTCATGGAGTTTGAACCTTCTCTGTCCTTCCGGCCCAGGAGCTACATCACCACCACCACTCCCGCTTCCGGAATGCAGACGGCGATGACACCCTCTCCCGTCCCCTCTCTGTCCCGGTGGGCAGAGCTGGCCACCACTTCCCCAGTTCAGTGGGCACGGCGGATGCCCGGACACAGGGTCTCTGCCCTGCGAAGCCCAGAAGGACGGGAACCTGACACTGCTCACTGGGGAACCTTCTCATTCTGCTCAGGGAGAAGGGGGACAGAGCGGGACGTCCGTGGTCATTTGGCCCAGGGGAAGTCAGGGGAAAAGCCTGTGGGCGCCCAGCTTGGGCGAAGGGCAGAGCAAGCAGACAGAGCCCTAGGCATGCAAGGACAGGGCCAAGCCAGACAGATGGCTCACACCGGCAAGGGGACGCGGCCGCGGCCTGGCTGTCTCACCTGTTATGATGACTTCATCCCCGTCCAGCAGGAACTTCCTGGTCTGCCCGTTCCCCAGCTCGATGGCCTTCGTCCCTCTCCACGACAGCTCCAACATGGAGCCAAAGCTTTCTGGCTCCTGCATACCAGGACAGGAAAGAAAGTAAGAAAGTGTCACATGGACCTACTTCTTGGTAAGCCTGCCGGCTCCAGCACGGACAGGGCTCAGCAAGGCCGGGGAGCCCCAGGCTGGGGCGGTAGACCCCGTGCCACCCGGAGACCCTGCCCTGGCGCAGCCACTACGGGCCTCCACTTGGCACCCTGCCCCTGCCCGCTGGGAAGAAGAGGCTGGACCCCTCAGGAAGGGGCTGGCATAGGCGCTGCCCCCAAGTCATCATCTCTGAGGTTGTGAGACTCTCTCATGGGCTGAGAGTGCCACCGGGGGAGAGGGGCGGGCCAGAGCAGCAGGGCCACCGCATCCCGGGAGGATCCAACCGCCTCTCTGGCTGTTTCCAGACGCTCCCCACATAGACAGACGCAGCCTCCCATTCATACACCACCTCTTTAGCTCTGAGTTTGGAAAGGGGGCCCCTTCTGTACCTAGACATGGAGGAAGCCGAGTAGGATGGAGGGGTCAGACACACCTGCCTGGGGCTCGGATGCCTTCTCGGGGTGAGCTGCGCGCCCCCCAGCTGCGTGAGCAGCAGGGGAGCTCCGCCTACGTGCCCGGCCCAGGACAGTAAGACACTCACCGGCCCGCTGATGGTCCCAGAAGCCAGGAGGTCGCCCGGCCGCAGGTTGCAGCCGTTGACGGAGTGGTGAGCGAGCTGCTGCAGCATCGTCCAGTACATGTGCTGCGGGCGAGGGGCACCGGTGGGGCTGGGCCTCCCGCACACGCTGCCCCGCACCGTGGTCCCCCGGCCCCTTGCTGGGCCCCACACCACTCTCCCCGGTACCATTCCACAATGACAGCTGTCCTCCTGCAGAGTTGCCCGAGGACCTTCCCCACTCTGTTGCAGCCCTGCCCTACCCCACGCTGTCCAAGAAATACCCCTGGAGCAGCGGGCCTCTGCACAGAGCCTCGGTGCGCGGCCTGCGCCCATCGACGGCTGTGCTCTGCCCTGTGAGCACCCCGAGCCCAGCAGAGGCTTCTCCTGAGCAAAGGCCTCCGTGTCAACCTCCCACCCTGGGTGTTGCAGTGGAGGAGCAGGGCCAGGACCCTGTGCCCCCCCAGAGGCTCAGATGCAGCACCCACCAGGAGCACCTCTCTCCATGCCCAGAGCTGCTTAGATCTGCCATCCCTGGAGCCATGGGGCTCGCACGCGACCCACATCATTGCCCCAAATGGATGCCCCTCCCCTGTCCCTGCCAGGAAGAGACTCCCTCCTCCCTCACTGCACCGGCCGCTGGCCCAGCTTCCAAGCTCACCTTAAAGTTGGACTTGCATATGGTAACTGCCTGGCTCATTCCTTCTCCTGTGGGGAAGACAAGGAACATTGACAAAGAGACTCAACTCTGTTAATCAGGGAGGAAAGAAACCGTGTAAGGTGAATTTTGTGGGCTAAGCTTCCCATGCTCCAACGTGGTTTTGCTTAAAGAGCCCAAGAAACGAGAAGCTCGTGTACTATCAGAGCTGGGAGGCCTCACGGAGACGCTGCAGCCCGGGCAGGGCAGAGACGCGCACCCCAGCAGGGCCTTCCCTGCCGCCCCTGGGCCCTCGTGGCCTCAGAGTCCCAACTAACACAACGCTCCTGGCGGCCATGAGTCAACTGGCGCCCAGGGCGAATCCCACTGCCATACCCCAGGAACCCCTGGACAGCGCGGCCACGTGCCCCCATGTGTCCAGTGACAGGCAGAGAGCCCCTTCACAGTTTACTTCCATGGCATTTATTAGACACCTACTCCATGGCATGGGGATCCAGTGCGCCTTCCCCTCCTCCTCCCTTTACAAGGACCCGCGGGTCTCTAAGGCTGCCGCAGGTGACAGTCCCCCCACCCCAGCTCCGGAGCCATCCAGGCAATGGCACTTGGGCACATGTGCCCCCAGGGCCCGGGGGCACAGCCTCCCGCCCTATGACAGTACCTTTCAGGGCGACAGAGAGGTGGATGTCGAATGTGTAGGGCTGGTCATGGCGCAAATACGGCAGGGGCTTGGGGTCCTGTGAGGGCAAATCACAGCACAGAGGGTCACTGGCAGGGGACCCCTCAGCACAGGACATGAGGTAGAAGGGGCAGCGCTCCAGGGACCCAGCACCCCGTCCCTGGACAGTGAGAGGTGAGGGGGGTCCAGATGCCAGGAAATGAAGCCATGGGAGGGGCATCAGCGGGTCAAAGGTACAGGGTCAAATCGGAGGTGTCCCAGAAAGGCAGGAGTGGAGCCCTGGGGACAGCGGGCAGTGAGAAGACCACGGATGGGAAACAAAGCAAGGCACGTGACAGGAAGGAATGGCGGAGGCAGGTGCAGCTGACAGGCTCACAGCCCCGACTAATTTGGGACCGTACGCGGAGGCAGTTTGACGGCCGCGCCGGAACGTCTGCACTTAGGCCAAAAGCAGTGCTTCTCCAGAGCGCAAGGCTTGAGTCCAAACTGGTACATGACATAATTAGTGTGGTTTCATTTTAATAGTTACGTGTTTCTTTTTATGATTAACTGGGCATCCAGGGACGCCGGCAGGGATATAAAGTTCCTTTTCTGAACACGTTATGTGAGTTTTAAAATTGGAGCTGTTTTAAAGAAAAACGTTCAGACGTGGCAAGAGGCGTGAAGATGGAGCGCAGAGGCGGTTCGGGAAGAGCCGGCGCAGAGGGACAGGGAGAAGCAGCGTGCCCTGTGAACGACAGAGGAGGGGCCTGGAGGGGCCGGGGGAGCCCAGGGGGGTGCGGGTGGGGCCGCGCGCAGATGAGGCGCTCAGGGCAAGTGTCGGGGACGGAGTCGCCCCGCCGCATCACAGGACTCCAGACACACGGGAGAACTGAGACAGGTCACATGCCAGGAGCCAAGGAGGGAGGGTGTCTAGGAAGAGTCGGAGCTGCTGGGCATCCACGCCGAGGAAGGCACAGGGCCACGGCATTGGCCAGAAGGCCGCAGGGCACTTGGTGAGGCCGCTGGTGGCGAGGGCGGGGGTTGGGGGGTAGGCTGTGGCTAGACTGTGACAGGCTGAGGAGCGCGGGGTGAGAAGGGGAGACCAGGCCTGAACACACGTCTGGGCTCCAGGGCCAGGGCCAGCTGGTTGCCCAGCTCCAGACTGCATTCTACCAGTTGGGCTCCAGGGGCGCCATTGCGCAGAAAACAAGCTGACCCCCGCCCCATTCCCCACCCCAACGTTGTGCAATGCTGAGCCACAGGCAGGGACCTCTTCTCCTGCCAACCAGCTAGCTCCCTGGTTTCAGAGGACTCTGACGCTTATAAAATTGTGTGTTTTCCCCAAGAACTGTGCAGGGGGCAGGGCAGGCGCAAGGCAGAATGATTGGTGCCTGCCTGGAGGTCACGTGCGGCCTGCCGGCAGCGCGGAGCTGTGCTCACCTGCTCCGGGTTGGGCACCACAAAGGGCATGAGCGCATCCATGGTCACCACCCACGGGGATATGGTGGTTCCGAAACTCTTCCCGAGGAACGGCCCCAGAGGGACGTACTCCCACTTCTGAATGTCTCGGGCTACAGGAGAAGGGAGGGCCGAGCAGGCTCACCCAGGCTGGCCAGGGCCTGGCCCCAAGGCCGCCGCCGCCCCTCAGCCCTGGAGCATGGACGCCCAGCACAGCCTCCCCCGCGGCGCTCCGGCCTCAGCCAGGACGCCTCAGGACCAAGGGCCTACAGCACTCAATGCCGAGGACACAGGTCCTTTGGGGTCACTGTGCCAGCTCACAATAAAGAGAAGGACAACCAAAGGGCAGGAAGGATCTTTCCCCACTAAGGGGCTGCGTGCTCCTCCTCACACTGGGAGGTGAACACTCCTGGCCTTCGGCGACATCTTCCTCCTGCGTGTGGCAGGGGCCTTGGGACAGGCTCAGAAACGGGCTGCTGGGTGTGAAATCTTAGCTCAGCAGCTAACTGCCTCAGTGCCGCCCCACCCCTGTACGTGGGAACAACGTCGCCAGGACCTTGCAGGCATCCGGACAGGGCCCCACAGGAGCGCTGGGGCTCTGAGGTGGGAAGTCTGTTCGGGACCCAAACCCACACTCTCGGGACCCAGGGCTTCTGTAAAAATGCCCCAAACACCCGGTCTCCACCCACAGTGGAGCGTTCACAGTGACCTTGGCCTCAGGCCTCCCAGGCCCCCATACTCACCACTCCAGTCATTCATAAGGACCATCCCAAAAATGTGCTCGTGGGCCTTGGAAATGGGGATTGGCTCTCCAAATTTGTTCCCAGGGCCTACAAAGAAAGCCTGCCAAACAGAAGAGCTGTTTAGAATCTGGGGCTCAGCTGGCACCCCAGGTCACTTGTCTGGAAGGCAAAGTCAGGCATTTCCAAACCGCAGCCAGAGACCAGGACTCCCCAGGGGGCCTGGCCCTGTGCTGAATGCACAGTGTTTGCAAGCCGTGAGCTGCAGGTGGGCGGACGGAGGGCCACCGGGGCGAGGCGACAAGCTCCAGCGCACGACCTCGGCGCAGCCCCTGAACGGCCCGGGAACACCAAGTGCAGCAGCCGCCGGCCTCTCTGCTCCGCCCCTGTCACCCCACACACCTCTGCTGACAGTGACGTGAGGCTTGTGAAAAATAAAAGTACTGGGGTTTGTATTCACGCAAAATCGAAAGGCTGCCTCCAAAACACAGCCAGGACCTGACGGGGCGCCTGCCGCCCCCCATCCATCACCCGCCGCCGGGGCAGAAAAACATCGCCAGCAGGGGGACAGTGACGGTCGAAAGCACAGAATCAGCTAGGACACTGGCGAGACCGGAACCACGGTTTTACCTGTCCTGTGACAGTGGTTAAACACTGCAAATTTTTCATGAAGATAAAAAAGGATGAACCCAAGGACACCAACTTGGAGCGAATCTCACCACCATCCAGTCCAGATTACTGTGCTCCCCCGATAGCTTCTGCCTTTTCTCCACCTGCCCCATTTGCTCCCTGACGGGGAGCAGGCCAGGCGAAGCGCCCGCCTGCACAGCCCTCTGTGCACCCGGAGAAGACCCCGCTCCCAGCCCGGGCTCTGCGCCCTGCTCTCTGGGTCTGGGCTGGGAGCGCTGCCCGGGGGTCCGCAAGGCACTGTCACTGCGGCAGCAGGAGGCAGAGGGCTGGTGGGCCTGGGGCGCCGCTGGGCAGTGCCCACATATGTCCTTCCTCCTGGCAGAGTCCGGAGAAATCACCGGGCAGCTCTGGACAGACAAGGAGCTCCTGCCTGCCTCCAACCAACCCTGATTCCCACAGCTGCGGCGCTGAGGGGGTCCCACGCCCCTTCCCCTCCACCTGCCGTGAGTGGACGCCCAGAGCTGCCCTCGGTCTCACCTAAGCCACAGGTGCTGCTACGAAGGGCCCCTCTGTCCGCCTGCCTACGCCCCCCCACTGGGCCGGGCTCCACCACCCAGCATCCTGCCACCGTGGTTCCGGAGGCCCCTGCCAGGAACCACCGAGGCCCCACTTACCATCTCCAACTCTATGTCCAAGAGTCTGCAGGGACCATACACAGGAGGCTTCGCTGCAACATCAGAACAAGAGGCTGCTGTGAGTGCCCGGCCAGGGAACTTACTGCGTGAGGACACAGAGCCACAAGGCCGGGGCCCGGACGTGGGGACACTTACAGTCGTCGGGCCTCATCTGTCCCATGGGCCTTCGGATCGGGGTGCCCGACACCACGATGGAAGAGGCGCGGCCGTGATAGCCCACCGGTAAGTGCAGCCTGAGGCAGGAAGGCGAGGGAAGGCAGGGTGTAGATGTTATTACGTGCTGCAGGAGGCATTTCAAAATTCTTAAAAATTAAGAATACAAAAGGAGCCAACATGTACACATGGCTCACAAACCAAAAGGCATTTCCACGTGTCTGTGAGGAGGTAAATGGATCAGCAAATTTGCTCTATGCATATAATGGAATATTGCTCAGCAGTAAAAAGGCAGGAAATTCTGACATCTGCTACAACACGGATGAACCCTGAGGACACTGTGTTCTGTGAAATGAGCCTGACAAAAGAGACAAAACTTGACTTTAGCCGATTGAGACTAATTCTGGACTGCTGGCCCCCAGAACTGTAAGAGAATATATTTGCATTGTTTTAAGCCACTAAGTTTGTGGCAATTTGTTACAGCAGCAGTGGAAAACCCATACCGTGTATATGGGGGCTGTTCAGAAGGTATCCAGCCATGCAACATGAAAAAGAGAGACATTTTTTGAAGAGGACACAAGATACGAAAAACACTGTGCATGGGATTTCCTTCCACTCCCCATTCTCTCGATAAAAGAGCTCCAGAGGTTGCCCCCAGGTCCCAGCAGGTCCGGGGTGAGGCGGGGGGGGGGGGGTGAGACACCAGAGGCTGAGACCATCGTTTGCAGACCCACCATGGTCATCGCTGTTTGTGGCTGAACGGATTTTCTGAACCCAGGAGCGACGTGGCAGCTCCAGGGACAGCATGATGCTGCAAACGGAGAGACAGAGTCTGAACTTGTCAGACGCTGGCCTGGGACATACCAGTTGGGCATCAGCGCGTTCTCCTTGCCCCTGAACATGATTCCGACGTTTGTAGCGTGCTGCTGAGACGAGTAGAAGTCTGTGTAGTCACCTGCCGAGGAAAGTCACAAGAGAGTCTGTCAGTGACCCAGACAGCTCAGGAGAGAGAAGGGACAGTCCAAGGACCAAGATGAGAGGAACAGGGCGGAGGAAGCAAGAGCGCAGTCTTCCTCTGCCTCCTGTTCTGTGGGGAGGCAGGCAGGGGCTGTGAGCGCACACCCACAACGTTCGCACGGCCCCAAAACTCAGCCCAAAACGTACACAAAGTAGCCTCACTGAAACATTATTTCTGAACTCCCAACCAAGAAACAAATAATAAAGAAGAGCTCTGGCCTTGACCACGGGCCTGAGTCAGTGATGGGGAAGGTTAACAGCCCCAGGGATCCTCCCCACCAACAAGCAGGGCCCAGCCATCCTGGCCCACTGGGCCGCTCCGTGCATGTCCTAGTAACGAGACTGGACTCACCTATGGCGGCTGGAAGGTGCATCGTGGCAGAAGCCTGGGAGACAAACGCACTGAAACAGAACGAGGGGCTTCAGGGTCAAGACCCTGTGGTGGTGACCCTGGTGGGGAAGTCACGTCACCAAGTGGTGAAGTGAGGTCCCAGCTCTGGTGGCCCTCCTGCAGACTCTCAGCCCAGACCACCCCAGAATCCTGCAGACGCTCTCCGGGCTGGCCTGGGCCAGAGCTGGGCTGAAGCAGCCACAGCAGGGAGGGGCTCCACCCGCTAAAGCTGAGATGCCTCTTCTCTGGCTGCGTTCCACTCTAGGAAACGAGCTGAATTACTCCCACTCTGGGGACCAGACAAGAACACAGATGATGCTGATGAGGAAGGAAGTGGGCCAGTGGCACTGGGGAAATCCCAGTCCACCCAGAGCCCCCCACCTACATGTAGCCTGGGCAGAGGCTGCGCGAAGCCAAGGCAGCCCTGTGGGGACTCAGAATGCCCCCGACCACCACACTGGCCTCTTCTCCCCGCCCACCGACGTCCACGTGCTCCTCACCGCTTCCGAAGCTCCGTGTCATCTCTGAGCCTGGCTTGACTGGCAGACAGCAAATTCTGCAAGAAAGCTCTTGCCTCCTTCCAGGCAGCCTGACCCAGGCCCATGAAGCTGTTGAGAGTTGGCTGAATAGGGAGAAAGAAGGTCACACCCAGGAAAGTGCTGGGCGGTGCCCGTCCTGTCCACAGGAGAGGCTGGCCTTCCTTGCAGGCCCCTGTCACTCATCTCCAGGCCGCTGAAACTCTTAGGACTTTCGCTCTTAGCTTTGTCATCTGGTCTTCAAGGTGGGGAAAGGTGTCACCTTTCCTCACAGGACTCAGCCCCACACTTGCACCTAACTGGCAACGCCTGGGAGCCGCTGTCTGGATGCTGCAGGCGCAGCTGGCCTGGCCGGCAGCTGAAGGGGTCTAATGGATGCGCGCTCCAGCCTGAGGGTTATTGAAGTCCTTGCACATCCCCTCACATAAGTGAACAAGGGGTTTCTCAGCCAGTGCGGCGTGGCAGAAAAAGCACCTGTGGATTCCGAAACCTGGAGTTACAGCCCCAGATCCAACACTGGTAGCCACGTGACCAGGGAGAGTCATGTCTTCAGATTAGATCCTCACCCATCTAATAGGGATCCCAATTCCTGTGCCAGAGGGGCTGCTGTGAAGACTGGGCGAGAGAGGTGTGTGAAACTCCTGGCACATAGGAGGTGCTCAATAAATACCTCTCTCCCTCCTGACCCACAGGATGCGAAGATGCACATCAAATCACCCGGCCGTCTACCGGGAAGTAAAGTCACATCGTTCCCACAGGTATGTGTATTGCAGGCCGACAACACAGAGGGCACTGGGGACAGCTGTCCCTTCCAGATCTCCAGGGTCACTGAGATCCAGGACAAGCCATGTCACAATGTCCTACCTGATCAAAGACATCCCGGTGTTTGGAGAGGACAGGCCCCGTAAAAAGGTGCTTAATAACACTGAGGTCCAAGATCTGGTCACCAATGGCCACACCGATCCTCGGTCTTGGCTGGGAGGAAGGTGGCATGGTTAGCCCAGGAGGAAGTCTCAGCTGGGCTCAGTTTGATTACCCAAAAAGCCCATCTACTAAGCAGCCGGTGGGTCCCCCTGGAGATGGCCCTCGATGGAGACAGAGGAACTGGATCCTCAGCACTGAGCCCCAGCTCCCTGTGCCCCCCAGTGCGCTGAGCTGCCTGCAGCGACACTTTCAGGCGAAGCCTGAGGCCCTGGGATGCCAAAGAGGCCGAGTCCCCACCCCGGCACTCTCCCAAGGGCACTGGGAAGGGCCTGTCTCTCCCAGGCATCCCCCGTGGCTGTCCCCGCACACCCTCCTATGAGGCGAGCAGGGGGAGGTGTCCGAAGGCCACCAGCCGTGCTCCCAGGGGCGTTAATTCCAGAGTCCTGCGGAAGAGCAAGTCCGAGCACCCGACCCGCCTCTCGCCAGTGGTCCTGCCTCATCGATCTGCGGTTCCACAAACAGCGAGGGCAGGGCCGCCGAGGACACAGTGTCAGCGCGGGCAGAGGGCAGGTCTGCCAGCTGAGGGGCGGGTCACAGGGTTAAGGTTTAACGTGTCTCCTGAACTGCATCTGCGTCCCTCCCTCCCGCAGGTGGAGATGCAGCGCTCGCCTTCGGTGTCCTGGCGGCACCTGGCCAGGCCTGGCGGTGGTGAAACCTCAGGCCGACTCTTCCAGACCGCGAGGCGCTGGCACTGGCTGCGGGGCGGCCGACCGACCCTCGGGGTCAGCGGTCCCCACGGGGGACGCGCACCCTCTGTCCAGGGCGCGGCTCACGGCCCGCAGCGCCCTGGGGCCCCTGCGGCCTGGGCACGGAGGGGTGCAGGCGGGGCCGGGGGTTCTCTGGTTTATGTTTAAAGAGGGGCGCAGACATCGAGGCAAAAGTACCAGGAACACCCCCAAAGCCCCGTGCATTCCTCGCCCGGGCTCCGCGTCGCCCCCGTTTGTCAAGAGGCCCCATCCTCACAGGCGGCCTTCTCCCTACGGGGCCGCGCCAGTGATTTCCCCACAGGTGCGTTTAAAATCAGCCAGACCCGGCCAGGCGGGCGCAGCGACCCCTCTTCCCTCAGACTGTCCGGTAAAAAAGCGACGGCCGCCACCGCAAGCGCTATCCAATGCGACTGCATCGAAATGACACCGATTTCTTGGATCAGAGCAGTAAAAACTGCGTGTGTGTGTGTGTGTGTAATTTTTTTTTTTTTTTTTTTTTTTTTGCCGTGCCGCGGAATTTGAGTAGTTAGTTGCTGTGCCGTGAGAGGAACAGGCTGAAAATCGCTGCCTTCGACTCAGGGAAAGTTGGGCTCTGGCCCCGAAGGGCTTCTCCTGACCCGCCTGCCGCGGGGCCCGAGCCGAGCCGCGGACGCCCCGGCGGCCTCGGGGGAGGCTCGCGCCCCAGCCCCGGCGGGACTTCCGTTCGTACCACGTTCTCACGCGAAGCTGCGGGGGCACCTACAGCGCGCGACCCGCTCCCCAGGAGCACGGCGGCCGGCGGCCCCCCCCTCCCGCCGCCCCCCACCGGCTCCTCCGGCCGCGACCCAGGCCGCTCGGGACGTCCAGCGGGGGACAAGGGGGCAGGGCGGAGGGGGGGGTCCCGGGTGAGGGGACGCGCGGGAGGGGAGGGGAGGCTGGCCCGCCCGCCCGCAGCTCACGTTGCCTGGGGTGGAGAAGACGCCGTAGGGCAGGTTGTGAATGGGGAAGTCGGAGTTCTCGGCCACCGGGATGAACGACATGCTGACAGGCCGGAAGCGGCGAGCGGGATTCGGGACTCCGGGCGGGCGCGTGAGGCGGCCAGTCAGGCGGGAGCGCTCCTGCGGAACCACCTCGCGGAGCAGCCTCCCCTGAGGGGACGCCAGAACGGCCCCCGCCGGCCCCGCCCCCTGCTCCCGCCCCGCGGCCCCGCCCCCTGCTCCCGCCCCCGCGGCCCCGCCCCCCTGGCTGGCCCCTCGGCGGCCCCGCCCCCCCAAGCCCGGCGCCTGGCTTTGTCTGCCGTGGCCTTGAAGCAGGAAATGCCTCTTTCTGTGCGCAGCCCGGTCAATACCCAGCAAAACGCCGGGCACAGAATACGTGCTCCGGAGATGCCGAAGTCACCAATGTAACTGCGCACTGGCGGCAACGCGTCGCTAGGCTCGGGGCCGCAGTCTGTGCCAGGCCGGGAGCTCCCCGCGAATACACGCAGGCTGACGAGCCCAGATGAGAGAAGCCGTGTAAAGAAAAATCCGAACGCCCTGGGGCGAGCGGGGTGCGTGTGGGGAAAGGGTATAAAGATGGTTGACGGGGAAGGAAGATGTCATGGCTTTAGAATAGACTTGCCAACCCACTAATTACATGTCGTGTCTGAGAGCGCCAAAACTGTCGTTGGGAAACAAGAAAAAGCATTGGAAGTAACCAGCGAACACAGTGTATGTTCTTTTGTCCTTTTTGGGAAGAGGGGGGGGTGTGTTACCATGTTCATTACAACTACCGTAAAAAAAATTTACGGAAAAAATGCCCATAATCCCCCCAATTTACAGTTGTCGCGTTTTCCTGTTGTTTGTTCATCTCCTTTGTAGGCACAGGGTTTTCCCGTGTTTGTGAACTTTACAGAGAGACAATTTTTCAGGCTTTCCCCGCATTTTTCTCTTGAACACTTTTCCTTGTGCCCAAATAGGTTTCATTATTGTCATTTTCATTGGGGGAAGAAGCTGCGCCGTTGTGGATTATGTTAATGGATGGAGCAGTGAAGATCTCTGTCATGAATTTACTCTGTTGGCCAGGATCTAATTTTGTTGGCCTGCAACCTAATTTTGAATATAAGCAGTGATAGTGGGCAGCCCCTTGTGTCTGACTTTAAAAGGGAATGAGATTCGTCTTCTTAAACGGTGCATACTTTTTGTTTGGTTTTACAGAGAAACTATCAGCTTAAAGAAATACCTATCTATGGCTTATTTATAATGGGATTTTCCAATCATAAAGGACTGCTAAATTCTATTAAATATTTTATCTGAATTCATTGTGATAATTTTTAATGTTAATCTGTTTTTAATGTTCTTTTAATGCTATTTTATTTTAATCTGTTAATGTGATAAACTGTTTACAGATTTTAATGCTAAGCCACCATTACATACTAAGATAGAACATACATGTAGTAAGTACACAAATTTAAACCTAGACCTTTGTACTGTAAAATACTGTTGTCATCTGTTTTACATATTTCATGTTTTAAAAAGGCTGGCTGCCAGATAACTTGGAAACCACAGGACAAATGGCCTTTTGAGGGTCTTTCTACTCTACAATTCTCCAACTGCTCTGTTTGAATTATGACTTCAGTTTCTCTAATCCCACCAGAAAGAGTAGCTTCACCTAGATGCTAATTCAGTGTGACAAAGTGTAGAACAGGGAATCAGTCAAGAGCTAGAAAGTATCATATCCTAAGTGACAGAAGTTCTTGGCCTCTTTTTTTTTTTTTTTTTTTTAATTTTATGAGTTTGAGCCAAACTGACTACATATGCCGGGAAGCAAGATCTTAAATGCTCCCAGAAGTGCTTGGCTTTAAAGAAATATTGACATCTTCAGCTCATAGGAATGTAAGATCATAATATATCATCGTGAGATTAGTCACAGACAGATGTGAGACGAACAACAGTTCTCTTACAAAATTAGTGAAGTAGAAAACTACAGGACACAGAATCAAAACCAACTACAGGAACAATAACAGAGAAAAGGCAATCCACAGAATCGTTAAGGTTGTCCTTTTTATTTAATCAAAGACTGGTGGATAAACATAAATACAGCACAATTACTTCAGATCATTCTTCATATTGTACACACAGACAGATGAACCTGAAAGAAACCTGCAGTCAGCAATGAAATGCATACAGCTTTTCCTTCCCTTGCTCAAAAAAAAAAAAAAAAAAAGAAAAAGAAAAAAAAAAGGAAAAAAAATTAAAAACACACAAACTTAGAATCTCATCAGCACACTCTCTCCTGTGACAAATGATTCAGACATAAATAGTGGGTGCAAAGAAACTATGTGCTAACATATGTATAACCTTTGTTAATGAAAAAAAAACAGAAGCAGCCATAGTGATTAAGATACATTCAGTTACTGGTAACTAGCTGTGCCCTACAGGGCATTATCCAAAGAGAGATCGTGCTGCAGAGAAAAGCTATATATACACACACAATGAGAAAATAAACCGCAAGATTAACGCATGCATGTTTAATACTGGAAAAATCACAGCCCTCCAAAATTTCTCCCCATTTGTTATAAAAGCCCTCTGCACTCAACTAAAATTAAAATGATCTTAAAAGGATAATACTTGTAAAGTTTACTTAAGTCTTTTCAGCCACAGAAACTGCAATGGAAATAATGTTCAGAGTCATTTTCAAAACAAAAACAAAAATCTATTCTTCTGATGACATGCATGATTAAAAGGTCTATGCAAGATACAATGCTCTACATTCCCAATGACTAGGAAAAAAAAACCTCAAGTCAATTTTTAGTTTGCAGATGGTGAAAGGATTTTGTATTCCAGCAGGAGTTCAAATCTTCTGGATCTTTTCGCCAACAACTACTGGATTTTCTTTTCTGATTTTCTCAGCAGCATCGGCTTTGTAATTGTAAGAGCAATTGTGTACATCTGAGTAACGGTGTACACCACAGTAAACATTTCCACACCGGCATTCAAACCCTGAAAGTGGATTAATACACAAACCTGAGTTGGATGCAAGGTCTAAATATTAAGTGCTTTAGCATAATTAATGTTAAACAGATCATGTTATTTAGGGCAACAATCTAAACCATCATTCTAAACAAGCAGTTTCGCAACCCAAGAACATTCTACACATTCTCAAAATTCACTAGCTGACAGCTTCCTACCTTGTACCTGGTTTGTACCGGAGCAGATCGCAACCACTTCTCTGAGCTCGAGTGTCCTTACCTATGGCATGGCCACTTCCTTCCCATCAAAAACAGATCACTAAATTGAAAATGTGAAACATTTCTCAAATCCAAATACTACGATGTTGAAAATAGGCTTACTGTCAGAAGGCGATCTTCATATTTAAGAAAGATGCAACGAGCCCTCTGACCGAACTGTTACAAATGACACGGCGCCCATGCCAGCTCTGTTTGGCTACCATCCCATGGAAGGGCGAACAGACTCTGCCTGGTGATTAAGACCACGGGGTCTAGAGTTAGGCCATCTGAGCACAGACCTCTTACTGACATACCTGCAAATTACTTAAGTCTCTCTGAGCCTCAAGTTTCTGCAACTGTAATTTTAGTTACTGTACGGATTAAATGAAGAATGTAGTAAGTACTTACCACACAGTAAATACACACAAACTCTACTTAGTTTAGGAAAATGCCCAAAGTTGAAGACAAAAGAGAAGTGTAAGGAAGGTGGGCAGTCTGTACACAAAACTGGTCCTGCCCTCCAAAATGAGGATTTTATGGTGTGATGAAATTATTGGAAATGGGACACAGGAAATCAGTATTTTAAACATTGACATGAACTGTAAACTTCCTTTACCATATTTTTTTATTATAAAACTGTATCTGTGGCTTTATAATAACAACTAATGAAGAATGAGGCCAACAATAACCCCAGACTGATAGACTGGACAACATGAGAATTAGTAAATCTCAGCCCTCCAATCATAAAGTTTCAGAGATTCTGAGATTTAGAAAGACTGTATTTGATACTATGTATGTATATTTTCAAATGTTTTTTTTTTTTCACGTTTGGATGGGCCAGCCTTAAACATCTTTGATGTCAGACTGAAATCTCCTTTCCTCTTTACCTCCAACCTACTCCTTAGCCAGAGGAACCTTCCTAAAACATCCTTTCGCTTAAAATCTTATCTGTTCTTTTCTCAGCCCATGCACTGTATTCAGCACAATGTCTGGCACATAGTAGACAATAAATGGTCACTACTGTAGCTGCAACTGCTTCCCCGAAATTCTGCCCCCAGTTTCCCCCCGGCCACAGCACTAGCCTGATCTCTGCTTCTGTCTGCCTGCAGCGTCCAACACGCTCACATACTGTGCGCCACAGCTACCTCCCCACTCCTGCCCTGGACACGCCCTGTTCTTTCCCTTCTCCAAGTTTTCCTTCAAAAGCTCTTCTTTCTGGCTGAAATGCCCGTTTCCATCAGTTGTAAGTCCTGCTAATTTTTCAAGTCTCAGCTGAAACATTCTGCCTTCATGACATTTTCCTTGATGGGCCTCTTCTCTTCTTCTCTTATACAAATCAATAATCACTTCCCTCCCTGAATTCCCAAAACAATCTACCAGACGGCACTTCCTGTGCTTCCTTTGCTAAATACCCAAGTAGCCTCTTGAACACTGCCTTTCTCCCTCTCTTAGTAACAAAGCTGCCTGCCGGCTGTTACAGCAGTCAACCTGTATTGATTACTTATTGTGCGGCAGCACAAGGCTGATCGCCTTACATGTGTTACCTCCCTGAACCCTCACAGCCACCTATGATTAGCCCTTTGTATGAAGCCTCACAGCTCGCCAAGGGCTTAACTATTCCCTCTGACACAGCTTCCGGCTCTCTGAAGGCAGGAGCCACATCGCTGCCCTCTTGCAGCATCTGGCACACTGACCTACCTTGTCTAATACTCTCAAACTCAGCTGAAATGATTTTTTAAAAGAAAACTATTCATTTCACTTTTAAGTATATAATTAAATCTACTTTTATTTCTTTAAGAAAATTCAGAAGCTGAAACGTATCCAGTATTAACTCATATGAAAATAGAAACAATCTTACTTGAAATAGGAAGCCAGGAATTATTTTAAAATGCAATCTTAAGTTTGAACCATTTGACTTGGGCCCTTACCAGTAAGTCCCACTTTCTTCCTACACATGAAGCAGCGATTCTTTTTCTGTTTTGGTTTCTCAAGAGACTTGCTTTGCTCTTCAGATGGCTGCTGTGCCGTATCTGATACTGAAGCTGACAAAAATAGGAAGGTGGTAAAATTTAGTTATTCAGTAAGCGACATTTGGGTGGTGGTTGTCCCCCACCCCCACTGATTCGTTATTCACAGGATAACTGAAGAATTTATTTAATTATGGAAAGATTTATTTATGTCACATTAAGTTACAAAGTAATTTACATAACATGACCCTTTGGTATGTAGGAACGTACGGAACTTATGTACAGTCATGCAGAAAATACACTGACATGTTCACAGTGTCTCAATTTTCTAATTTTTACAATACTTCTGTAATTGATCAATAAAAGGCATGCACACACACACTTAAAATACTACTTGCATATCGTAAGGGAGTCTGTAAGAAAATGGCCCTATGCAAATTTCTAAGTTTTGCTGGGGTCAGAACGAAGTACGCTTCTCAGAAAAAAAAAGGGGAGGAAAAAGGCTGACACCAAGGTTCAACAGAATACTAAGTATGGTTGAAATTTTCAGAATGTTTCAGATAAAATCTTAAAATGTTAGAAATAAGATAAATTGATAAAATTTAAAACTACTTTCATGGATGCATGTAAGCAGTGAAACCAAGGCCGGCTGCACCAAGACTCAGATCAAACTACTGCCCTGGCACTACCGTGACCCTTCCTGTCACGAACTACCCCAGGCCTCCTGGATGCTGCCGCTGGACGCCACCTCTCATGTGACCTGGCAGACAAGACACTGGCTCTAAAACAGTGACTTGCCTTGGACTAAGTTCTCAACGCCCCCCATTTCACCACAAGTCCTCCTCTTTTGGAACCTACCGCGTGACCACCCTCGAGGCCGCGGCCGGCCCCTCTACCCGCACCGCCCACAACTAGCCCAGAAGGCCTTCCCCGGTCTCCCTCACGTCCCCCGGGCCGTTGTCTTCTGAAGGCTGCGCTCAAGCGGACTCGGCTCTGCAGCTTCCCTCCGCGTTACCCTGCAGCCCCAGGCCACCACCTGGCAGCACCCACAAGCCCCTCTTCAGTCCATGCTTCCCACCTGGTGACCTTAAAGTGAGAATCTCCCGAGGTGCCCTCCATTGTTTAAATTTCCAGACTCCCCACTAGCCCCAGGCTAATGGCCAGGCCCTTCATGGTTTTCTTGTCCTTCTTCCTCCAGCCTTGTCTCTCGCCTTGCCTCCTGCGTGCTCCGTGCTTCCGCCACACTGAAGTACCTGTCCTTTCCCTGAATATATCAAATTCTTATCTATCTTTGGGCTTCTGTAAAAGTTGTCCTTTCTTTGGGGAATACTTCTTCCACACCCTTGTCCGTTTCTTTACCTACAACGTGATTACTGCACACCCAGACATTCTGAAACTAGACGGGAGACAGCTGTACTAATACATACATTTTATTTTTGAAACAGAATATGGACACATAAAACCCTTCATTTTCTCTAACTAAATATCTTGGAATGTAAGCTGTCCAAGGGCAGGGCTGCGTGTCTCGCTTATAATTTTATCCCCAGCCCCTAGAACACTTCCAGATAAGGCTGGGCTGTGTGCAAAGAGCTTGGAGAAGGTTTTGCTTGCAATCCAACAAGAATCTATTATACTTACTGTTTCTGAAATCTGTAAGTCCTTATATCTAATCTGTTCTCCCAATTACATTCAAATAAACTAATGTAACTAACATTTTATAATGGCAGTAACACCACCATCCCAAGATCACACTTTTACCAGAACTGGCTTGCTCCTGAGACACAAACTCTGAGTGGCTCCTGGGAATGGAGCGGGGAGATGACGCACTCACTGCTCGGCACACAAACGCTCCCGCACACCACAGAGGCGTTCCACGGGGCTTCACCTGGAGATTCGTCTACGTGATTCCCTGCAGATGAGGTGGACGCGCAACCTTTCCAGAGCTGGATCAGGAGGCTTGAAAGCCAGGGTTCCCATGTGAAGCCGATTAATGTCCACCACATCCCCACAAGACTAAAGGAACCCCAGCTCATCTGACACTATAGGCAGGTGGCCTGAAATGGTCACCACATGAATTCATGGGCAAGATGACAAGAGTATTCTGTCAAAATCTCTTGATTCCCAGAAATAACCCGTTTCCTCAGTTTCTATGTGAGATTTAAGACTAAAACATGCCTAATCAAACTATGTTATGTGAAAAGAAACAATTCAGTCCCTGAAAAGTGCCATTCAGTGGGTTGTAGGCTAAAGGACCATACTCTCACTGAACCTGAGGCCAAAATAAGAACGGTGTCCTCAAGACAGGCAGTTTTTCATATTCTGGAATGAGAATTGGAAGGAGATCACCTGCTTGTTACTGATTAACAGCAGGAGGTTGCTGGTGTTGCAGCCACGAGTCCTAAAGGTCCATTTGGGAAGCCGACGCAAGGGCAGTGTTTGTGAAACAAACCGCAGCACAGCACTGGCTGATTTAATTTTTAATGAGAATTGCAAGGAGACAAAGTCCACCGGCCTCTACTTTGAATATTCTTCAAAAAGCACCAGGCAGGTACATCAGTTTCACTGCCCGCATGGAGCATCACATTCAAGAGGAACAAGGCCCTCTGCTCTGGGTCCTGTAAAAAGGAAGGAAGGGAAAGGAGGCGGGGGGAAAGGGAAAGAAAGAACGAGAGAGAGACAGAGAGAAGAAGGAAAGGCAGGCACAAATATGCTGATGAGTACACACAACTATTTGGCACTACCTCTGGGGGTATAGAAACACACGGTGATGAATGAGAGCGAACATCAGATGCCATGAATAGGGAACTCCAAACATTATCGCATAGTACACACAATATCTATGTAACAAGAGCACATACCCTTCCTCCAAAGGTTGTGACAAGCCTCCTCATCAAGGATCAGACTAAGCATTTGGGGGCCGGGGCCTACTCTGCTCACACTGCACACCTATGACAGAGAGCAGCTGCCCAACAGAGACTGAACGAACACACAAATTTCCGTGACCCACTGGGATAAAACTCAGTTCCCCTCTCTGGACTGCCTTCGCTTACCTGCAAAATGAGGGGCTAGACCAAATGTTTTATGTTACTTGTAGCTCAAAAATTCGTAACAAAATGAGAAAATTTTAATATTCCAAAGAAAAATTAGCCGGTATGGTAGCAGGGTTCAAAAGAAATGAGTCATATATTTAATTTTATATTTTCTAGCAGCCACGTTAAAAAGTAGAAACAGGTACTACCCTGGCTGGCTAGCTCATTTGGTTAGAGCATCATCCCAATATGCCAAGGCTGTGGGTTCAATCCCCAGTCAGGGTACATACAAGAATCATCCATGGAATGCACAGATAAGTGGAACAACAAAGCGATGTTTCCCTGTCTACCCCGCTCCCACCAAAAAAAAAATAAATAAAAATAAAAAAAAAAAGAGAGAATTTAAAAAAGTAAAAACTGATAAACTATATATTATCATTTAAAAATGTAACCAACATAGCCACATTAATGAAATACTTCATTTGTTGTGTGTGTGCTTAGTCTCGAAAACCCAGTGCACATGTTACACTCACAGTGTAGCCAGCAAATATGTACTAAATGTCTCACTTCAGACCAGCTCCCTTGGGAGTGCTAGACAGCCACACAACGCCGGTGGCCATCATCCTAGACAGAGCAGCTCTACTGAGGTCAGTTTCTATTCGCAGCTGTCAGGGCAAAAACTGTTAAATGAATCGTAAAACCCAACTTTGTGTTTTCTTAAACCACCACTTTCGAAACGGCTCTCTTCCCTGAGCATCAATTACAACCAAGGAGCTGTGGGATTTTCCACAACCTGGAGCTTTAAAGACCCTTTCCAGCTTTCGTTCCAACATATACTTGCCTGAAATGGCCACTCCAGCAACTTCTGCTGTCACCACCTATTTCCCAAATTTCGTCTTTTCCCACCTGTACGCTTTTGCTCTCACTCTCTTTTCCAGCAACAAGCCCTCCTCGCTGCGCCTGTCCTTCACGTCCGCAGAATGACACAGCAGGAGCCTTCTGCACCCGGCTTCTTTCATTTAGCAGGTTCTCAAAGTCCGTCCCTGCTGGAGCACGTCCAGGACGTCGTTCCTTTTAGTGGCTGAGTACCAGTCCTGTGCGTGTGGACACCAGTTTTGTCCACGTATCTGCTGACGGCCATTTGGGCTGTTTCCGCATTTTGATGAGTATGGACAATGCTCTGGACATTCTCAGTCAAGTTCCGGTGCGGCTACCCTCAGGCCAGCACCATGAGGTCTGGATTATTGCAGCCTGTAACTCAGTGCTCCACCAACTTGGTTCTACTTTTTCTAGACTGTTTTGGCTATTCTTACCCACTCTTTAAAATCAGAATAAATCTCGTTTTTAATCCATACAGCTTTCCTAAATTAGTCCAAAGGGACTATTTCTGATTGTCTGAACCACTGATTCAACAATTCGAGACTGTGTGGACTCAGGAACCCTCGGAGTGGAGTATTCCACTCCCCTCTATCACTCCATGCCTGATAAATGACCCAGCTGTCCTAGAATGCTTCAGTGACGGAGAGCTCACCACCTTAAAATGGGGCTTCGTTCTATTGTTGAAAAGCTGCAAGATTCTTACTGTTAACCTCCTGTGTTTCCCAAATCAGTGCAGCATCACGAGTAAAAATATCCTTTGTAATTTACCAAGCTCACTTCATCTCCATTATTTCACTGCCTAATAACACCCTATAAGGTGGACACGGTTCTTAGCCTCCTTTAAAAGTTAATGAAAATAAGGATCAGAGAAGCAGGGTGTCGAGATTTGAAAACAACAGAACCTCTGAATCCAATTCCACATTCTACTTACTAGGATCCTGTATCTGAAGGACTGAGAGGTTAAACAAAGACTTAAGCATATTGTTGAATAGGACAATCAAGTATGACAGTTTAGAGTGCACCAAAATACTTAGAGGTTTTTTTCCTTGAAGTTAGTTTTTGTAAATGGCATTCCTAAGTGACACTGTGTAAGATACTGCTACTTGTTAAATTTAAAACAATTAAATGAGAACCATGCTATATAATATGCTAAATCCTCGGTTAAACATGAGAAAAATGTTTCAGTCATGAGTACAAAATGAAAGCGGTCCCGCCCACCTGGTGGCAACAGATGCTAATTATAAGCAGATCACCCACAGGGAAAAAAGCTGTTTCAATGACACTATTCTGAGAACTCCAATAAAAAATGTTAGGAAATTCTGGCTTAGGCACACAGTTGCTACCCAGGTATACTCTCCTCCACCTGGTTAGTCTTCCTAGTAAACTATATCTCCCTTGAGGGATGCAAATGGAGTAATGAGGAAAACAGGTACCTGGGTAGGTCACCAAACCAGTTGATCCTACCCTGGGAACAGAGAGCGGCTCGATGTGGCATCAGGAATACACATCCACTCCCCAGCCCAGGAAGCAATACAAACCGCTTCCACAGCCTAGAGTCATGTGCCTGGGCTCCAGTTCCTGCTGAAATGACCACGGACTTGAGCCAAAGACCTTTTCTCCCTCTTTTTGTCCATCTCCTAAATAGGCAGAAAAAAATGTTCTGCCTTTGTTCCTGTCAAGTACATTTATGTGTTATGATGGTATGAGTCTATATATAGATTCACACCTGTGTGTGTGTGTTTTATAATAAGACATTCTTAATTCAAAAGTATAAGCGAGATATTTTTTAAACCTCGGCTAAGAGATTTTATACATTGAAAATGAATCCTCTCAAGTGCAAATGAAAGTTACACCAGATTTTTCAAAGATTCTGCTATGCAGAAATGATGAATGCTAATTTGTGAAATACACTTGAAAGTTAATACTAGGTTAACCTAAAAGCCACTACAAAGAAGCTTTTACAATTTTAACCACCACTGTGCCCCTCTAATTTCTCTTAATACAGCGTCAAGACCATCTTTTGTATTAACGTGCTCAGGGATAAGTACAGAAAATTCTATTTTCCTCCAAACACAATGAACTTACAATCTTCACTCTTTCTCAGACTTGTCCAACAATGGGTATTGTATTCTTAAGCAGCGTACTTTTTTTTCACTATCCATAATGTAAAATATGTTCCATTGTGAGACATAAGTAGCGTATTCGTGAGTCATGGCCTGTGCGGCTCCTTCCTTATTTGCTCTCTCTCAAAACAGCTACGCAGCCCTTGCTTCCTGAAACTCCCCCCAGCATCCGCGGCCTGACACTAAGCCCGAAGATCTGGATGACTTTTCTCCCCTTTGCTGACTCCCCGGTCCACCTGCTCCTCGTGCTCTGAGCCTCTCGTCAACCTGTGCCGAGGACTTCCAAATCTCAGACCTGACACGGATCGCATGTTTAAATACCTACTATTTACCCACCGCCTCCAACTGAGCTCTTTACATTTTGAAATGCGATTACTTTTGGCTTACTCTAAGACCCTGCTAAGCGTTATGGCTGCTCTCAGTCTGTCTACAGCAACCACACCACCGCCACCGCCCTAAAACTGACAGCTGTAGCCCCACCCTCATCTCATTTCCCAAGTCCAGTGGATAACTAAATCTTGGGAATTTTTCTATTTCTGCTTTTAAAATATCCGTCGTCTCTGCCCTTCCTTAAACGTTTCTGGTTAACTAAAAATAAAATTATTCACTTAATCATATTTATGAGTTCATAATAATATGTTGGGTGAACTACTAATGTTCGCCACATAGTATATTTTCCTGCTATAGCAAAATTGGCAAAAAGGCTCTTCACGCCAATTACTTTTTGGGCATGAGGTCAGAGCAAGGACTGAACCGGCCTGACTAATTCACACTTCAATGAACTGTAGCTGAGACTGACAGACGCCTCTGCCGTCACCACGTGGACGCCGTGCTCTGCGGAAGGCTCCGCGGAAGACTCCACGGGCCAAGGCGTCTTCTCTGCGACTCCTGCCACAAGCAAAATGACCCTCTGTTCATCCCCGGCCTGTCTTTCCAGAGCATCCGTCTCTGATGAGCGCAGTTTCATGCAGTGGCAAAATATAACTCCTTAAGCCCAGGTTACTTGGCAAATACCTCCTCTACTTTCCCATCTGCTAAGAAAGCCCACATAGTCCAAGTCTTCCTAGGTCACCTGGACTCACATGATGCGGATACAAAGAAAATGGGCAAGAATAAGAGATACCACCTGTAAATACAAGTAACCAAATGTGATGTTGTGCTTCAGTCCCAGATGGGGAGAGAGGGTGACTGCCAGTCAAGTTAAACAGTCTCTTAGGAAACCTGAGTCAAAAACAAGAGACTGCTCTCAAACCAGCAGCCCCGGTTTGCTTGGAGAGGAAATACTATTTAGATTAAACTGACTGAAATAATAACAGATAATGTGACGCGACCACTCATTCATTTAAATATATTTCTCAAACTAAACAGACTTTGAAGTTTCTAAGTTTATGGTGATGGCATAATTTTATATATGTGGGAAATGGTTCCCAATATTTCAGTTCATTAAATACTTGAGGATATTAAAATATTCTGCTTATAAAGAAAATAAATATAAAAATGTTAAAATGTTAGGCACATAGTTTAAAAAATATATGCACCTAGGACAGTGCCTGACCTATAATATTGAAACGTTAAACAAATGACAAAATATATGCTAGTTCATATGCAAACCTTGCAGGTCTTCTGTTTCAGGTATTGCTTTGTCCGCAGATGTACTGTCCACTTGGGAAGATGCTACAGATTCTGATAAAAGTGACTGATTTGATACAGGACTAGAAAGCAAAAATATTCAGATTTTAAAAGATCATCTCTATGCATGAACAGTCCCTAACGTGATATAAGGAAAAGTTCAACATATCTAAGTAGATCATTAAGACAAGAATTAACACAAAAGTACTTTTTACAACTTAAACCACCACAGGTCTTTGTAACTGGAGACAAATTTGAGCCAGAAGTTTACTGTTTTGGAAATAAAGCCACAGTATGTATCCTTTGTGTGTGAATTCATGTAATGAAAAGTAGCACGATGAAGACACACGTAAGGAACCCTAACACAAAGCTGTAAACGACATACTGGCAAAATGGAATGTCTCCTCTCAGGAAGTGGGGAAAAAAAACTACGGAGCTCTGGCCCGGTAGAGCGCTGACCCGATACGCCAAGGGAGCCGGTTTGATCTCCAGTCAGGGCACATACAAGAATCAACCAGTGAGTGCATCAGTCAGTAAGTGGTAACAACAAATTGATGTCTCTCTTTGAAACCAATTAAAATTTTTTAAACAATAAATAAACTATGCAGTAGTAACGTGGTATTGGTTTCCTAATGGTAGGATAAAAATAAATAACTATTCTGTATTTTCAGGCCTCTAAATGATGTAACTTTTTCAAAGTTAAAAAGAAAAAATACACTACAACACAAATAATGTAACTACCACATCATGATATGAAAAAGAAAACTTGTGACAAGACTTTTTAAAATGAAATACTAGTATTTGCAGAACAGGACTATAATTAGAAGAACCTAGGCATGCTCCAAAAGGATTTCAGCGGAGGGTTAGAATATATGAGGAGAAGGGACAAAGGGAAAGCTATCTGAAAAGGAAAGCTGGGACTTAAAAGACAACCCCCCTACCCCCACCTCAATGCAAAAACAAACAGAAAAAGCCTATTCCAACTACTCAGTAATGATAATGAGACAGATACGATTTTAAGCTAGTTTGCTTTGCACAGTTTTCCTTAATAGGACTGATCAAATACGGAGCATGTCCTGTACTTTTCCTTAGCTCTCCCATCCCCACCGAGAGACCACACCCTACCTTGGCTGCAGAGGTGAAGGGGTGGAGTCTAGCGCTGACTGGGCTTCTGGGACGCCGCCGTCTGTGCACTGAACTGGTAGAGATTCCGACAGACTACTGACAGAAGTCGCTGCAATGGTACCACATTTCGTATTAGTGATTCTGCACTCTGGGCAGTCCAACACCTTATCTAAAAAAATCAAGATCAGTTTTCCACAAAATATAGTGTATGAACTTTGTTGTAACTATATAATATGTTGGGTCACTTCTTTTAGTTAAAGTTTCTTCAATACTACAGTTTTCCGGTGAAAATACATTCATTTTAACCATGAAGGAGGAAACCATATACAAACTGTGTATATTAGTAAACTAAACTTCCATTTCTCAGGACTGAGTGTTACCAAACCCTTTAACTCACAAACATCTTCCAGGTACCAGTAGAGAAATGAGATATTTACAACAGAAGTCATTTAGTACTGAGGCAAACCTAGGTTCAGAATTAAACGCTGTGCTCAGCATACTAGGCTGCATTATTTTCCCTGGTCTTCATAAGCAGATATGTAGATGATGATTTAATTTCAAAAATAGTAATTTATACTGGTTTGATTTTAGCCTTAAGAAAAACTGGAGGAGTTCTGATGAAGTGGTTCCAGCGTTCGCCTTGCACATGAAGCAATGACAAGAAAGCCTCCGCACAAAATTTTAAATGAACCAAGTACCAGTCTGCACGTTCAACGACCATGGAAACCTACGGCCTCAGGCGTGAACTTACAGGAGGCAGATGCTGGAGGAGTGCTAGTTATACTTTACTTTTGCAAAGCTTACACTTGGAATCCTCACCATCCTCCTTACTCAACTGCGGATGCTTTAAAGCCATCCTCAATTCCGGGAGAAGCCTTTGACTTGAAAAGGCAGAGCACTCGGGTGGCCGGGGCGGGCCTCCTAACCCCGAGTCACACGGCCGTGCCCCCGCTTCGCAGCGGGGACGCCGCCTCTGAAGCCGGCCGTGGCTGTTCGTCATGCACGCTTTCCTTCCACAGCTCTTCTGCCTGCCGAAGTCATCCCGTGTCAAAGAACCAAGGCCCCCTGCAGCCCCACTCCCTCACCTTACTTTCTAAGGGAGCTCTGTACATCTGAAGGACGCTTCTGGTAGCACGATAATGGAGTTTCACAGCACAGCAAGTAAGACTATGCGATGGATTTACGGCAGTTATTTTCAACGGGTAAACATACTCTTACTCCTGTCTCCCTACCACTGATAACCACCATATGTAATGAGACATTTTATTGCTGTGAACTTAGTAAAGTGAGTATAATGTTAGAGCAGAAAAGGGTGTCGGGTACACTGTGTGATCCAAGTGTATCTCAGTTCTGAATAGTGCTGCGTTTTAGCCAAATTACTTACCAGGTGGGCTGATTCTATCATTACTGCTATTCTGTCGTTGAAGATGTTCTTTGTAGCACACTGAGCACATGCCGTTTGTGCGAGGGTTTCCATAAAACCCGCAGCCAGTGGAACAAAGCATAGGCACTTGGCTGTGATTAGTTTCTTGAGCCATGTTCCTCTGCTGCACACCTGAAATTTACTGAGAATTAGCAAAAAAGGCACACACTGCAATCACACATTATCCACATTTGCTTTTTACGATAAAGACACACCCACATATACTCCCCTCTAAACCCTCCAGGCAGCTATCTCAAGACTGTGGGCTAAGGTAGGGAGAGAAAAGGTAAAAACTGAAAGAACACAAACAGGGCTTCCATCACTAACGCACTGTGCACAGGCAGATCTGCACCAGCTTAGAGAGGAAACAGAACTGCTAGAGAAAGGTTCCTGTGCACAAGATTCCACTCCATCAGCTGTTAAGGAAAACCCTTTAGGTCCAGTTCAGTCTGAATTCCTGGTGGTAAGAAACATACATGGTAAGTTTTGCTATGTTATACTATTAATTTCTGAACATTTAAACCTTGGTCCAAGTTCATGTGTTAACTTGTACAATTTCTTCTTTTTGAAAAGCATTTAACATAAACTAAGTATGATCAGAAAAAGGTACTGGCACGATATGAAGTGTATATACAATATGTGGACAATTAGAACAACAGGAGTACCTATTAATCATCAAAAAGGACGAAAAAGGACATATCAAGGACGGTAAAGCGAATGGTGACCTTTTCTGATCTGCACCTTTTCTGTACTTTTAAGACTCTCTTAGATGAAGATGCTACTTTTTAGAAGTATTTAAAAGTTAAAAAATCTCAGACAGAGGAACTGTTTGGAAACCACATGAAGGCAGAAATCAATTAGACAGATGGAAGAAGCCAACGTGCAATTTCTCTTACAATCCAAGTGGCTCTTTCAGCCAGAACAGCGTGACAGGAGGTAAGTAACAGGCTCTTATTTGAAAAGTTCCCAAGTGAAATGAAGGTATGTGTACATTTAAGATGAGCCTATGTTCACGGATCTTGAAAAATGAGAGGGCCATGTTTTCCCCCTGAGGTTGCCTTGACCTGATAAACAATGAAGGAAAGCATTCAAATTACCATTAACACATTTTCCCCCACACTTAACCTATCAGGACAGATTGTTGGGGGGTGGGGGGATCTCACGCAGATTTCAGAACCAAGAGTAATAATGCACTTGACTGGATTACAAAACAAAGCCGCAAGCTTATCATGTCCCTCTAAAAAAAATGCCATAAAATCGTTAAGAATACCTAGATCTTTAGCCTAAGAATACAATTTGGGATTTCTTTCTTATTTCATCATGGCAAGTCATTTCGGGCTCCAATCTTTGCTGCTGTGATAGGTATCTGCTACCTTAGGTCCCTACCTCTCCTCTAGTTCTGTAGTAACAATGAGGAGGCAGAAAAGCGAATGACAAACGTTTTCTGGATTTGTCCCCAAGGGATAGCGTGCTTGTCTGTTTTGAGTATCAGGGCAAAGGCTCAAGGTCACGTACGCAGCTGGGAGGCGATGGCACTGCGACTCGCGACAGGCAGTCTGGCTCCGAAGTCCACGCTCCACACCAGGGGTTCCCCAGGTGTGCGCCAGGGACCCCACCGAGGCCAAACCGTGTTCCCACTAACACTAAGCCATTCGCCTTTTTCACTGTGGCAACATGCACAAAAGCAACAGTGGGTGACCGCCTGAAGCCTGACCTTCCTGATCCTGACCGTGGCACCAAAGTACAGTGTGCTCGCGGTCAAGTTAACTTTATTAGCTCTCCACCCAGAACACACACGGCTTGTTAGTGTTTTGCGTGACAAACGGGGCGGTACGCAGACAGCCCTTCTGCTGCGCACAGCAATGTGATGGCTGCGGGAGGAAGCAGCGCTTGTGCACCTGTTCACGTTGTAAGCTGACCAAATCATCTTTGTCATGGAACAAGGTTTTTATTTCTAAAAAGGCCGGCAAACTAGTTATTCAGACTTGAGTATACGTCAGACATGTTCTCAAAAATGAGCAAAGTGAGCCTGTCATCTCAAGAAAAACAACTCACAGCACTTAGGGCCAAGGACAACATTTAAGTGAAAACGACCCTGGCAAGTGCCTCCCATTTCTAGAGGGTTTCCGCGAAGACCAGAGGCGATGCTGACGGCATGCGAGCAGCTGGCACTACACCAGCACTCGGAGGGCCAGCGCCAGCCAGTGAGCCCGTGCTTCCCAAGTGACCAGTGTAGAGCGGTGCAACGTGGTTCACGAAGGGAGACTCTGTTCAAAGTGAAAGACGAATGCATTTCAAAGTAATGGAGCAAAAAGCTTTTATATAGTTCGAGCTTCTACACTGCATGTATCCCTTTAAGAAACTACAAATTCTTTTAGTGTAATACCAAAGAAGAACAACCTTTAATATCTTCCTTTCCCAGCTACACACATAGTAGACACTGGTGTTCCTTTGTAGCATTGTAACAAATTAAATATAGAGGCAATTAAGAGAATTTGGCTGTTTGCTATTAAGCCAGACTTTTGGAAGAGATTGGCAAAAATATGCAACAATGCCACTTTTCTCACTAAACCAATTTGGTGTGGGAGGAGTAGGTTATTTTTCCATAAAATATTTTATAATAAATTATTAAATATTCTGTAACTGTTCTCAGCTTTAATTTGTAACATGATAAATATCATTAGCTAGAACCCACATAAACACAAGCTCTTTAGCGTACCCAATAATTTTAGGGAATATAAAGGTTCTGAAATGAAAACGGTGGAGAACCCACTGCTGTGAACCCTGCAGGACCACCTTCAGGGGGCAAAGAGTGATTTCTGGTGGAAGGGAGCACACACCAAAACACTCTTATTCTTTATGTCTAAAACATAGGTATACATGTAATACATAAATCGGAATACAGCGTATCTGTAAAAATAAAATTCTACGGAGGTGGGAGTCTAATTAGAAACAAACTGTCTAACAAGGCTCCTGAGGAGGGCAATAAATAAAAAAAGACTGTCCAGCACCAAGCATTCTGTGCTGCCTATTAGTGGCATTAAAGTGATGTACGACAAGAATCACACTGGCACCTTAGTGCATGGCTGGCAATCACATGCACCCAGAGAAGAGAAATATTCTATTTCTATTAAAACTCAAGCAAATAGCCAGATTAAAAGTACAATATGACCGCCAAGTCGTCGTATGTCACAATACCCGCTTCTGAACAGTAAGATTAAAATGGAAAAACTGGCAACAGTGGCAATTTCCCAAAGCCAAACTGCCCTGCACAGCAGCAAATTAACAATGGTTTTCAAAGTCAAGAGCTTTCTTATTTAAAAAACAAACAAACAAACAAAAACCCCTATTATCCTGGCAGGTAAAAAGCACAAAGGATTTCACAGCTCCGTGAAAAGGGAAAAGCGGGGGACCACCCTCACTTACTCATCTTCGGTCCTCCAAACGCACCTTTGCCCTGAAGATTCGGGGGAAGAGCCAACTCACAGAAGGGCTCCCGGGGTTACGTGCGTATGCAGCGCTGGGCACGGGCAGGTGTGGAGAGGCCGGCAGGCCCGCGCCCTGCACTGCACGTCTCGGCCAGCAAAACCAGCGTAGGGCCCCTCAGGAGGGAAACAGCCCCTTAGCTGCTGCGCTGTGGGGTTACAAAACCACAAATCCAAGGAGGGACGTAAGGTGACCAGACCAACCAAAAACAGATGAGCATGGGATCATTTTTTAAAAAGTCTATGAATTGCAGAGAATTCAGAAAACGTGCTTTCATAATCAAAACGACAAACCCATCACCCTTTCTACCCCCTAGGAGAGCACTTACAGAACTTAAGTTAGGATCCAAGCACTGTTTTGTTTTATTTACATTATCGCATTTAATTCCCTCCAGAATCCCGATGTTGGTGCTATTGATACGCCATTTAAAAAACAAGGAAACTGACATTCAAAGAGACTTTTATAACTTGCCCAAAGTCCTATACGCAGTGAGCGGCTAGGTTTTCCCCTTTGTCTAAAAGATGGTGACTTTCAAAGTCCACCCTCTTACTTTGTGAACATTCATCAATTTTTATTCTTTTTATTTAAAGATAATTTAAAATTCCACTCATTATTCAACCTTAAGATTTTATGCAGCTTTAATTAGTTTTACCAAGCTCTTGAGAAAATTTGTTTTTCCTTTCAGTCTTTTTACCTAAGAAATTCTCATTAGCATAAAAATTCAAGAACAAATATTTTAAGGCTCCAAAGGAAATTCAGCCCTGGCTGGTGTGGCTCCGCGGACTGAGCGCCGGCTTGATTCCCAGTCAGGCACAGGCCTGGGTTGCGGGCCGGTGAGGGATGTGTGAGAGGCAACCGCACATTGTTGTTTCTCTCCCTCTCTTTCTCCCTCCCTTCCCCTCTGTCTAAAAATAGATAATTTTTTTTTAAAGGAAATTCAATACCCCTTTCTAACTGAGGAATGTCACATGAAAATCCCCGATTCCCAGCCCCTGATGGCAGCGGACTCATCTCTCCAGAACCACAACCCGCCAGCCGGCCCCCGCAGCCTGTCCTCCCCTGTGCAAGGCGCCGCCAGCTCTCAGTCTCCTGACGCATCTTACCAGCGTTGGTCCCTGGTTCCTAGGTGACTCCCTATGGCCTTTTCAATCTGGAATCTTCATTACCTCTGGAAGCTTTCCCTCCACCTCCTGCCTTTCTGCCAACTACGCAGAATTGGCCCATCTTCCTTGTTATGGATCTTTCCATATGGATCTCCCAGAAGAGAACTAAGCAGAACTTACGGTACATCCTGCCTTATTATTACTTTTTTAATACAATCGGTCAAAACAGGAATGCTCATCCTGGTGCAGATGTTGAGATTAGTGTTTCCTGGAGGCGCATGGGAATTTCGCACGGTTCTGAGCATCTGGCCTCCACCTATCATGCGGGCAACACGTGCAGGTCCTGGGGGGCAAGGACCTTTGCAGAGGTGGCCGAGAACTCCATGGAAGTTCATAAGGCACACAGGTGAGAAAGGACGACTTGCTACCAACCGCCTGGGACGAAGGCTACTCACGCTGACAGAGACAGAGGACCTGGGTTAGGATCCTACAGGGTCGGGGTGCTCTGTGGTCCTCTCTGTACGGCAGTCCCCAGGCCCCTAG